TGTGTGTGCGTTGTTAGTTGTTCTGACGATTGATTTTCTAAAAGCCCCGACGAACAACCTCGTGATTACTGCTACAATTAATAATTGTCTCAGTAAACCCATCAAAACCACTACACTGTGGTAAAAGTTCACAAGTAGCTGCTTCCCCATATCACATTTATTTAGGCACCTCAGAAAGTGGAGGCAATGTTGTGCATTTTTCTAACTGGCTTCAGTGTTGTGCGACCAATCCAAGTCAACTGACATCTGCAGTCAGATGAATCTAAAGCAGTTGACAATTTACACTGTTGTGCCTTTAATACTGATTGTGGCATGACTTCCCCTTGGTCTCTTGAAGTCCACAATGAGTTCTTTAGTCTTGTTGACATTCAGGGCCAGGTTGTTGTCATGGCACCACCTTGTCAGATGCTCCACCATGCTCCTGTATGCAGACTCATCATTGTTACTGTTCAGCCCAATAACTGCGGTGTTATCAGCAAACATAATAATGTGGTTGCTGCTGTAAATGGCTGTACAGTTATACTGTTGGTAAACAAGGAATAGACTCTTGGGTGGAAACATCAGACTTATGGAGCAATGTTTACAGTGTAGTGTCCCCGTCACTATACTTGGGCATTAGGACCCACATGGACCGCAGGGTGAGCACCCCCTGCTGGACCCACAAATACATCTTCCAGTGGCAACCTTAGTTTTTCCCAGGAGGTCTCCCATCCAGATACTGACCAGGCTCACACCTGCTTAGCTTCAGTGGGTTGTCAGTTGTGAGTTGCAGGGTGATATTGCTGCTGGCATTTAGGATTACTGTAGAGGAGATATTGTATGCCAATTTTCACCACCAGAGACCATCGGAAAATCCAGTATCCAGTTGAAGATGGAGTAATATAAGCCCAGATTCCAGAGTGCAAGATGTAGTCTATTAATAGCATCCTAGCATAGGTGCCCTACCTGTTTAAATATTCAATGGCTATATTTAGTGATAAACATATTGCATCATCAACAGACCAATTTGAGCAGGAAGCAGACTGAAAAGGATCGAGAGAGTATGGGATTGTGCCCTTTACTGTATATTCCAGGACTTTCCAGGCACTTTATAACCACATAAATTAGCACCTCTGGGTGTTAATCATTCAAACATGATACCACAATTGTGTTTTTTATTGAAGCACTCTGGTATGACGGACAGAGTCAGAGAAAGGTTATAAATGTCTGTATATACAGGAGATAACTCACCTGCACAGGTTTTCACGGGGAAATGCCATCTGAGCTGGCTGCTTTGCAGGTTTTCGCTCTCTTAAAGATCTGTGACACAACGTCCCCTGGTCCCCTGATGGTGGATTTGATGTTTGGGCCTAAAAGCAGGAGTAGGTGGTGTTCAGCTCATTTGGCAGAGATGCATCAGAGAAGGAAATACTGCTGGTGTTGCCTTTATAACTTATGATAGCCTGCAGCCCTTGCCACATGTGCCTGTTTTTCTATTTTGTCCTTGTATTTCTATTTAGCCAGTTTGATGGCTTTCACCAGGTCATACCTTGATTTTCTGTAAGTTCTCTGTCTTCTGATTTGAAAGGCAGCAGATGTTTTAAGTTTACTGCAGCTATCTTTTTGCATCCACAGTTTCTGATTGGGGTATATCCAGATCTTCCTGGTAGGAAAACCTCTGTCCACACAGTTATTGATGTAGGATGTAACCACCTCTGTATGCTTGTTTAAATCAATGGAAGAATCTTTATGCTTGGCAGCATCTTAAGAGTGCTGCATGATCTTCACTGCAGGTGGCGCGATCTTCAGCTTCTGTTTGTAGGCGTGGTCATTCTTCCCAAAACTCAGATGTGAAATGGAGCTGTATGCTCCTCTAACGGTCCTCTTAATAACCACACTTGGGAATTTGTTAGCATGTGGATGAATTTACACAGCGGAAAAATAACAGTTAAAAATGTCCTCAGTAAGCAAAAGGGGTGACATTTGATAGTGAGGTATTCCAGATTAGATAAGCAAGATCTGTCAGTGCGAAGGTTCCCCCACTTCCTCTTGTGTTCATGTCCTTGTTTGCTCTGTGCTGGAAAAGTACAGCTGTATGCTATTTCCACTGAAGTCAGATCTGGAGCTTTAAGTCTCAAGTGTTTGCCGATCATAGGTGATGTATTTTTTATAGAAAAATGAGACATAACACAAAAATAAACAACATGAATAATGCAATCTTGAAAAAAATATTAAACATATTCTAATTATATTCCTCAAATTTGTTATGTAGTCTGAATACCATTTCTTTCTAAAAAAATCAATCACAAATTATGAATTACAAACTATAAGGATTTTTGCCACAAATGTAAGGGATTTGTGAAACATGATTTAAAAATTGGGAGAACTTATTGGGTCCTATGGCTTGTAATTGACATGAGCATGGCATGAAAAAAGACAACACAGAGTCAGAAGTAATACTGAGTTTTCTCATTTTAGTAAAAAATGTCAGCCCTGCCAATGAAATTTAAATGATCAACTTTGAGATACCTGGTCTGATTGGAGAATTAGCAGTGGTGCCTCTTAAAAACACTTCACCACCTCACATGGGCATGCAAAGCTCATCATCTGGTTGAGAACCACTGATAGCGCTTTTCTTTACTGGAGTGTAAGTTTTAATGTTCCTTATTCTGCTTAATGTGCATTGACCATTCTTCTTGTGACAATGATTACCATGACCTTTTTTTTCGGTATCCTTTCACAGGGATTCAAAGACTCCTATACCAGGAAAACATACATTTTATCCTTAAACACGATTCACACATTCCAACAGCACTCAAGAATCAAATCTTTTTTAATCTGTGTTTACAGATAGTGCATTCAACATTTCACCTGAAATTTAGAATAAAGCTTCTCCTTAAATCAACCACCCACTTCTATTTTTTTATGTAACAGTACACAGATGACACATTATGCAAGTAACAGAAGGTGCATATGACAACTTGGTACCTGTTACAAGGAATACATATGGTGGATAAAAAAAGATTATAACATATACATTATACATAGCTGTGTGAATTTAACTGTTTATTTGAATTGCATTAACACTAAAACATAATATATGTATATACAGTATATTAAAAATATTAACTTCTTATGTTTTCATTTTAAGACAGATCCAAAATGTCCTAAACTTGCAACATATAAAGCATAATGTGCATAATATAAGGAAAAATAAAATACATTAAACTTTGTTCATTTCGTTACTACAGCTGATGGAATCACATTTAGATATGCTTGGTTGGAGGAGGGAGGGGCAGCATGGAAGCACATTGGTTAGCATTGCAGTGCTGGGGCCCAGGGTTAAATTCCTGGTTTGCTATTTGCGTGGAGTTTGTAAGTTCTTCCTGTGTTCACGTCTGTTTCATCCAGGTGCTCCAGTTTCCTCTCTCGCCCCAAAGACATACTGGTAGGTTAATTGGCTTCTGGGGAAATGTACCCTGGTCTGAGTGTGGGCATATCTATGTTTGTACAGATGCAGCCATTCAAAATGGGTGGGGTATTTCGCGGCATACCCCGGTGGGCGTGGCGCGGTATCACGCGGTATCATTTGACGCTCTACCGGAAACTATCCGGCGTCACCTTGTAAAACCACCAGGGGGAGCTTAACCTCTCATATACAGCATTTGAGCTTTTCATTTTGAACTGTGTATTACAGCATGTTAATCCTCAGTCATTAAAATGTTGGTATATTTTATGAAAGCAAGATTGCTCAGTTGGACAAAAGTACACAACCTACCTTTATCAGAAATATTTATGCATCAAAGCCTTTACCGAAGATATTACTAATAGTACTAATAATGGATGACTTTGGACAAGCTGTATACTCAAAGTATAATTTCTTTAGCACATTTGTAC